GGTAGCGCGTGGCAGGGCTGAGACCCCCCACCCCACCCCCGCCTCGCCCCACGCGTGGGGTGGTGCAATGCAGCGGTGCCCCAGGGTTAGCAGGGCAGGAAAATGCAGACTGGTCCTAGCAGCCGGGCTCCGCCTCTTCTTTGGGGGGGCGCCTAGGCCTTCTGCCTCCTTCCCCTGGGGGGGATCTGAGAGGGGGGAGCGGCCTTGGGCTGTAACTTTAAAAACAACAGGTGGCCCCTTCAGGGTGCGTCGACACAGCCCCCTTACCTGGAAATCAGCCAGGCAATTTGTGCTGTGCACATTGCCTAGCTTATTCCGATGTTATTTCGAAATAGCGTAATCAATTGATTTTTCCAAATAAGGCGCTATTCTGAAACATCTCTTATCACTTGTGCAGTGAGGTTTACAGGGACTAATTCGACTCTTAACAAAAATCACATTCTTGCCTAGCATGAACGTCTGCATTTCCACATCAAAAGCAATGTAGGGATACAGCCAGCCCACTAAATTAGCCTCATTAACACAGGTCCTACAATTGACAGGTGGTACTTCTGCTGTTATATCTTGGTTTTAGTTATTTCCATTCCAGTTCATCTGATGATGTGGGACTTGCCCACAAAAGCTCATGATTGTATATATTTTGGTTAGTCTCTCAGAAGCCATAAGACCATGTTATCAAAATACAAATATGACTTCTTAGGTTCAGGGTGTTTAACATTTTCATTAGGAGCCCACATTTTCAGTTGCTTGTTACTTTCCCAAACTATAGCCTGTCATGAAGTTTTCCAGGCCTGGTCTCTAACTCATGCTGAAATTGTTTTGGAAAGTTTCATTTAAAACAGTTTTGCTCCTCTTGAGTATGGGAAAATTGTGCCCATGTTGTTTTATAGTAAAGGTTGCAAAGTCAAGTACTGAAAAGATAAGCAATACCAACCCTAAGGTTGCCTGTGCAATTCTAATTCAGTCCTCTTGTGATGCGTGATTTTCTGATCAGGATGCATCCTGCATATTAAATGAAAACATGGTTTCTGAAGAAAACAGTGTGTGTTCATGTGTTCATTAATTCTGGTATTTCTTAACTTTTCAGTGCTTTTTCTTTGAAATCTTGGTGGTTTTTAATGTATTTTCTTACATTTTATAAGAGCAATTGTTATCCTGTGAACTATATTGTCCATCACATATATCACTAGCAGGGCCAGACCCTTTAGATAGAAATCTATACTTTTATCATTTGATTTAAGTGAACATCTGGTAGCATTAGTAGGCAGTTTATTCTGTATGTGAACCGATTAGAGGGGAAGAGAGATCAGTTTTGTTAGTGCAGTGTTTCCCAAATTTTTTTGGCCACAGAACCCTTTTAAACTCAAAATAATTTTGCGGAACACCTAATAACAGTCTTATATATGAAGCTGAAAAAATAGACCACAAATAAGTAAGTATAATAATAAACAAATGCTAAATGAGGTCATGAGATCAATATTTAGTTTAATTGCACGTATTTAAAAACAAAAATCACATTTAACATGAACAAAAATAAAACTAATATGCACCACTTTCTGGCTAAGCTGGCATTACACAAGGACACTTATCGTGGCAAACACAAATAAATTGTTTTCAGTGAAATTCATAAATGCTTAAATATTATTTTTTTTAAATCATAAAATGTTACTGTAATGGAATTTTCTCACTGAACCCTTATTTTCACTTCTGGAACCCCGGGGTTCTGCAGAACACCATTTGGGAAACATTGTGCTAGTGGGATTGTTGACAACAGAATAATTTTGGGATTTAGGAATCCTGGGTTCAGTTCTAGGTTCCAGAGGAGAATATATTGATTACAGGCCCTTCTGTCCCCATGGGCTTCTATTCTCCCCCATTTTACATACATATCCGCTTATCTCCCTGTTCCCTTGTGCTTCCAGGGTGTGTCCTACCTTGGTTCCTCACATACAAAGGAATGAGTAAGGCTTCTTCTGCCACCACCTTGATGCTAGCAGGATAACAGCGAAAAGAGAAGTGTCTGCATATTCTGGACTGTGGTGGTCCAACTAAGGTGCCAGGTTGGGAAAAGTTCTGCTGGGCTCCAGCAGCCATGGGTGGAGCATGTAATATGGAGCATGTAATACTCGGTACAGGTGAAATCTTTAGTGAATTCAGCTGTCAGCTTCTAACAAACCTCTCCTGAGCATGTGCAAACTGCAATTATTATTGGCTTATAACTTGCCATATGTAGGCAAATATTTACAGTTACAGCAAAGCACACATCCCTGGCACCAATTGAACTTCCTTGCAAAATTGCATATCCCTTTGCAGAGTATAGGGGAGGCGCTAGAGCGTCTTAATTACGTGGTTGTAAAAAACTTGAACATGGGCAAAACAATGTATTTTCCCCTATCTCCTTATCTAAAATGGCTGAACTATTTTAATTGAAATTTTTGAAAAAAATCAATCCAAGGGACAGTCGGCCAGCATGGAAAATTTCAGCTTCACAGGTTAAAGTTTGGCAACATTATAAGAAACAAAGTCGTCTTATAGAAAGTAATAAGCAGGGATTGACAAACAGTGGCGAAATCTACTGCCAGCCCCGCACCATGCATGTGCAAGACCCGCATTGCACATGCGCGTGCCACCAGTGAACGGCTGAAATCTACTCTCCACAGGTGAGTAGATTCACCAATTTGTCAAGCCCTGATAATCACTGTTTTTTAAAACAAAAAAATCCTTTATGGGATGAGGGCAAACATAGCTGTCCTGTGAAGAACAGTAGTTGTGTCCATTGTTACATTCTAGTAGCCTTGTTTTGAGACTATTTTTCTTCTGTATTCTTCTAAGAGAAATTACGGCTTTGGAGCAGAAACTGCTGTCATCTGAGGAGACAATTCAGAAGCTGTTGAATGTGATCCAGAAGAAAGATGACTTAATTGTACAGCTGAAACACAGGAGTCATCTTCTGACTAAGATCTGCAGAAGCCGACCCATCCTGGACAATCTCCTGTCTTACATGGCAGAAGGGGAAAAGTTAAGTACCTTTCCAGAGACACACAGTGATTCTAGTTCTCCGATTCATGATGAGTTCCAGGAGTCAAACTGCATCACCAACCAGATATCAAAGATCAATGACTTCTCTCTCAGTGAAGATGATCTGGAAGATCAGAAATTGGATATAAGCCAGTTTGGGACAACTGTCTGAACTGAGTGTGGAACATGACCTTTATTACAAATACTCCAGTACCGTTTTTCAAACATCCTTTTGTTTTTTAACCTTGTCTTGAAAGAACCAGGTTCTCTTGCAAGTAATCTCTTCTATACCTCCTTCATTGAGATCTCAGGAACGTGGGCGCTATGCAATACTAGCTACCTGAGTGGATACTAACCCTTAATGGAATGAGCACATCTGGGTTTTCTGCTATTCCTTTATCATGGCAATCTTTTAATTCTCCCAGCCTTCGGTATTTGCTTTCCTCTCTAATCCAAAACACTCCATGTTCAAGGATACCAAGTCAAACACTTTATGCATAGATCTTAAAGCACTGTAGGCCAAATGTCTCACCATCAGCTTTCAGTTTCTGTTGACCTAAGCGCAGCTCCTCATCCAGAGCTGTTATATATCCAAGCCATAGACGGTGATTAATTAAAACAGGATGATTATATATGAAATTCTAGGACACATGATGTCTGAGTCTATAAACCTATAAAATATTGTGCAACTTTTGGAATGAAAAATCTAAGTGCTCAAAATTCTACATGTTTCAGCAGAAGGACTTATAAATTAGAGAAAAGCTATCTTTTCTGGGAAGTTTGGTTCCATTGGTTTTAGGTATAGGTTGAATTCCCAACCTACTGTTTAGGTTCATAGTTTTGGTTTTTTTAGATTAGATTTGCTAGTTAAGATTAATCATATCTCTTGGCTTTTGCTCCAGGGAGTTAGCACTGAAAGAAGGAAACTGGTGTTTGGGCTTGAGACAGGTTTACAAATGCAACTGGAGGGAATCCATTTTCTGAAATTACCTTCTTTCCAGATTGAGTCTTGTCTGTTTTAAGATCAGAGTGGAGGAATGAAAGGGAAAATATCACATTCATTAGTAAGAGTTGTAAGTCACTATAGTTGGCAGTGGGATTTTAATGACTATTGAGTGTGAAAATTAACTTTCTGTACAGAAGAAGGTTTGGTTTCTAATTTAATCACTCTGAAATTCATTTTTCTACCAAGTGTTTTAAATGTATTTTAAACTTTTAAAAATTCTGCTTATACTATCATCTTACAGCTTTAGGATTGGCACCGAACAAGCTGTAATCTCTCTGCATTTGACTCTAGAGCACGTAGATTTTCTCTGGGGTCTAACCAGGTTTCTTTTTCTAAATTCATCTTGTTTAAACTATGACTAATAGCAGCTCTCTATGCAGTTCACTGTAGCTGCCTAAGTGCTTTTTTATATCTTCCATAAAGACCTACTTTTATATGGAATGCTCCTTTTTTAGAATTCTTCAGTGGGAGGAGAACAATATTTCACTTTAAGAGTAAATAACATCTAATTTCCTTTTTGAGATACTGTTATAGACGCATGCAGCATATTTTTACCACCACAGTGAATTTCCTGTTTTTTTTATAAATCTAAAACCCTGACTACTTTTGGTCTCTAAAGATTCCTTTGCATTTTTTACAGAACAGGATCTTGGCAATAATGTCCTTGCCAAATGCTTACTCAGGTAAATACTTCTGCCTCCATATATTCCCTGCCATTTACTGTCAATAAATCTCTATCAAATGTGTGGAAACTGAGAATAGTATGTTAGTGGAGAGTGGAGCAACCTCTGTTTGAAGAGTTTGGAAAAGCACTTGATTTGGCATGATAGGTGCCCTATCAACATAAGGGATTATTATCTTTTTGCAAATGTAAAGTAAATGTGGTGTCCTTTCAGTGCAATAAAAATATCCCAGGGTATTTTTCATCAGAAATTGAGTGAATCAAATAATTTTGCATCTGCCTGTATAGTGTTAGGAATTCCTTTACAGTTCATCAGACTCAGATGCAGATATTTGCACTTAAACAACAGCCAAAAAGTACATCTTGCTCCGTTGCAAGATGCGTTCCCTCCCCTTCCCCAGGGGAGAAGACAGGGTCAGAATGAAGTCCCAGGTGAATGACCCAACTGTGTGAACTGGCAAGAAAGACAGCTGGCACAGATGTGTGTCCAAAGCAATATTTCCTATTGTTTAAGCTACCAGTGCTGGCATGGCCCTGGTGCAAAGGATACAACATATGCTGGGGGCTTTTCAGCCTTTCAAAACTTCATCCAATTTCTCATTACACGCCTTGCCTCTTCTAGTTGTCTGAATTTGGGATGCATAACTCCCTCTAAAGCAAAATGAGATGACAACCCTATTAGCATATGTGTATGTGTTTCTCATTACTCTTGTTACAATACCTTTATCATTAGGATGCCAGAAAAAATAGAGTTCAGGGAGCTCAAATTAATCTTGAAATTTAAGGCAATTGGGCAGAAGTAGTGTTCTGAGACTTACGAATCAGTAGATTTCAGGAAGTTATTTTGTTTTGCTGTCACTTTGTTTATCCTGGTGAAGAATCAAATAGATTTGTGGAGTGTGAAGCCTTAATGGGAAACATGATAATACTATTTGGTTGTATGCAGTCTTTGCCTTTATGGGCACTGATCTCATACTCCAGTCAAGTTCTTAAGGCTCTTGTCTTTGTGGATAGTGTGTTGACTGTTTCAATACTTCTACTGAATATATAGTTATTTTCAAAACAACCCAAGTGCACTGGTGGGTTTTAGAGGACTTTGAAAAATCTGCTCTCAAGCAGAAAGCTCTCTTCAACTGTATTGAATCTGATGTCCGAAGTACAACAAAGCTAAAGTTACCAAAATGTTTAAGCTCTGCTGAACTCGTTCCATAGCCTTGAACCAAAATGTTCTTAAAACCTTTAGGTATGTTTGTTCTTTAAAGTGAAATTAATTCCACAGGCAGCTCCTTATCCACAGATATCTAAAGCAGGAAGAACCCGAATCTCAAGCCGACACACGTACTTTGAATCTTTTGAGAAAGGGGATTATATTGTCCATTCCTTCAGTTCCTGGTACAGTTCGGAGCTTTTAAAATCACTCACCTTCCTAAATTTTCTGGGTCTCTTTTTCTAAATTTGAAGGATGTACAGGTCTGCTTGAAACTTAGCTGTTAATGTGGATGAAGGGCTAAGCAGTTAGTTACTATTTTAAATAAAAACACATTTAAAGTTTTTTTTTCTCACTTGAGTATCATATCAGTGTCGTCCAGTGCCTGTACTTATTTTTGTCACCGTTGCATCTGTCCTCGCTTAAGTTCTTTTCTTGCAGGATACAAAATAAAGCTATTTTGGCATATTCTAGTTATGTTGATTCCAGAGATTTTTTTTGCCTCTTCAATTTTAAATGACTCGGCTGGCCAGCAGCACGCCGGACCATATGTGTCTTCTTGTCTCATCTCCTTTCAGACTTGGCCTCTCTAGCTTGAAATGCCTCTTTCCCCAAAATTGATGATTTTAGTTGTTTTTTGAACGTTAGCACATTTGCAAAACAGAACTAGCTATCCTTTTCTGACCTCTGTAGTCTCCAGGTATGTTTTGTTTCTGAGCCTTCTAAAATGTATAATTGCTGTTGAATCTCCCCATTACAGTATTGTCAGGATAACCCAATTCACTTTGGTGTGAATGGGGCATGAACCCAGTACATACGGATAGATGTAGTCCTGCACTCCCAGCTTTCCAGCATATGTGAGTGGTGAAGGAGAGCTGGCACTAGCAGGTTGGTACCAACAGCCAGGGAAGAAGTCATTGCTGACACAGCTGAGCAAGTATTGTTTCCAGAATATAGGAAACGACAGGAAGTCCCCGGGTTACGTACAAGATAGGGACTGTAGGTTTGTTCTTAAGTTGAATTTGTATGTAAGTCGGAACTGGTACATATTGTAGGGGAAACTCTAGCCAAACATTTCTCCAGAGCTCAGTTTTATTCTCCCACACCTCACTTCCCTCAGTCCTTTATTCTCAAGCTGAGGTGTCTGCTGAGAAAAGCCGCTCCACGCCTCAGTGGTCTGCTGGGGGAGGGGGGCGCAGCTAGTGCGGGGTTGCCTCACCCCGTTTGTAAGTAGGGATCCGATGTAAGTCGGATCCATGTAACCCGGGGACCGCCTGTATGTCTAGACTGCAAAGAAGTCAGAAAAAGTTACATGAATTGCGAACCACAACTTGAGTATCTTTTTCAGCCTTTTTTCAGAAGAGACTTTTCCGAAATTTGGCCCATCTACACGGGGCCAAATTTTGGAAAAGCCTCGTCTTTCGGAATATCCCTTCTTCCTCCTACAATGAGGAATAGAGGGAGGCTGAAAGAACAGGTCTGCTTTTTCAGAAGCCGTTCCAAAAAAGTGGACATGTTTCTTGGACACTGCATAGCATTTTCAGGATACCTCTGATATCCCGGAAAAGCTCTGCAGTGTAGACATATGCCTACAGTGTGTCTGTGAATTCGTTTGTCTGTCTGCAAGAGAATTTGTTCAAGAACTCCTAAATGGTAAGAGCAACCAAATTTCATAAAATCATAGAACACTAGAACTGGAAGGGATCTTGAAAGATCAAGTCCAGTCCCCTGCCCTCGTGGCAGGACTAAGCACTGTCTAGATCAGTGGTTCCCAAACTTTTTGGCATCACGCCCCCTTTTTCGATTTTTGAAAAACCCTCATGCCTTCCTGCCCTCCAAAATAGCAGCAAAACCTTTTGAGCAAAAAAAAAAAGGGAACTGACCGGGGCAGCAAAACTTGATAGGGGGAGGAGGGAAGGCTGGGTTCCCTCGTGTGCCCCCCCCCTGGAATTTCTTCATGCCCCCAGTTTGGGAACCCATGGTCTAAATCATCCCTGACAGGTGTCTGTCTAACCTGCTCTTAAATACCTCCAGTGATGGAGATTCTACAACCTCCCACAAATTTGGTATGCTGCTTCCTCTTATTTTAAATTAAAGCAAGGTCAGGGTTTGGTTGTGCCAGGAAAACGGGGAGTCCCTGGAAGGGAACTGTTTTCCATAAAATGGAAAAGGGGGGAGGGGTAGAGAGGAGGAACACGATATTCATGGAGGCCACTGGGGGCAGCTGGAGCTCGCCAACTTGCTTGCCACCAGACCCTCTCTTCCCACCTGCCCCAGCCCTTGGAGCTTGGGTTTCAAGCTGTTTTGAAAACAAAGGCAATTGAACTATCAAGCATGTGGGATACAGATGGGTTGTGATCAGGCCTGGGAGTGAGTCCCTAACTTTTACAAGCATATTTTAATCCTAAAACAGGACTATGTAGCACTTTTTTAAAGTGCTACATAGTCCTGTTTTTTGTTTCAGCTACACCAGACTAACACGGCTACATTTCTATCACTATTTTAATCCTAGTGATGGCTCCAGAGACGCAGGTGTTCTTGGAGTCTTTCATAACTTAATGATTGGGAGAAATCAACTCTTAAGTTCATGCAGCAACGCTGCAGTTGCTAGGATTTATTTAAAAAGGTGTGCTGTCTATGATGTTAGCACTTACAGATGAGCTGCCAAGAGTCAGCTGTGCTAGTGCAAAGCCTCAAGTAACAAGGAAGTACATGTCTGCTGGGCTGCTTTATAGACAGAACCAGTTTGTCTACTCTGGAAGCTATTTAAGAGGAAAATGTGGCAGCAACTTTTTTCTCCTGATACTTCTGTCTTTAAAGTACGTTTGCAAAGGTTAGCGGCTGTCAGAACGGCTCAGGGAGAACACAAATAGAAAACTTATGTTATATGGTCAGCGAGTGCCGTTCCCCTAACTTTTGAGCCTTAATTTACTTATCAGATACAGTGATTAGGTCAGTTATTGCCCTGTGACCGAGAGAGGTGGTCTGCATAGAGAGAGCCCCTAGCCAATGACTCCTGGCTGATTATAAATACACTGCTACTAGGCAATCAACTTTGCCCATAACTCATGCTGCACCGGAATACAGTCTTATTGGCAGCATGGACATACCTGCAGGAGGGGGGTGTGAGGGCCCAGCGAGGGAAGGAAAGCTACAGGCCCTGCCCCTTCTGCAACCTCCTCATACTTACCGCCCCCAGCCCCAGTGAGTGACATGGCCCCACCCTTGCAGCTGCCCAGGGCAGCTGGGCTGGACCCCCCCCCGCAGAGCAGTTTTGGGAAGGCAGTTAGTTGCCTTCCCTTACCTACATTACTCAGGCATACCTGACAACAGTAAACCACAGGCAGGGGCAGCGATATGGGTTAAA